TGCTTTATGGCTCACTGTTTAACTGTTGATAAGTGTTAGTTTGTTTTTAATGACTTTGTTTATGTTGGATTTAATTACCGCTAGAAAGTGGGAAAGAGTGACAATACAACTAGGTGCTCTGATTTGGTTTGTGTTTGCTCTACAGCTTGCTATTCTTAATGATGTCAGAAATTATTTTTTCAATAACTTTTATAACTGCTCTGTTAATATTATTTAGCATTATAATGACCTTTATTTGATAACTTGTATTTATCATTATTACCCCCCACTACATGGCTTAGAACCTCATTTTTCTTTTATGACCACTCTCAGCTGGCAGTAGAAGATGCAATCTGCTTATTTTAATGGGGAGAAGCCAAACTGGTGGATCTCACAATTTGCGCATCTATCTTTGTAGATCACCCGCAACAAATAAAAAATTGCACGCATAAGTGGAGCGCCTATTATTTCGAATCTTTGAAAATCCAATGTGTTTTAGAGATGGACCTCTCTAATGGTCAATTTCCCTTTGCCTGCTTGATGGGCTCAGATTGCTGCTTGGTAGGTTGCATGGACATTCTAGACAGGGGCTAGTGGGCCAGTGCCCCTGTGGAACTGGTCATGGCCCTTGTTATGGCCTCTTTACTATGGACAATACTAAATAATTTTCTTATAATCATGATGTTCTAACAAGAGACCGTAACTAATTTGTCCCTTGTACAATTTTATTCCCTTACCTTTACAGTTTCACCAATATTTAGAGAATAAAATGTACAGTTCAGGCAGATTAAGATAGGATCATAGTTTCTTGCTGCTCGACAAGGATCTGCATCTTTGGTGACTCTCTCAGCATACTAAACTATGCACCATTGAACTGTTTTGTTTGGGCTTTTTTGGTTTTATTCTTTTTTATGTGTTCCACATTAAAAAACACTGGACCAACCCAGGCCTCCTGGTAAATTTAGAATAGAACCATCACTGTATTTTTGTTCTCAGCCCAACTTACATCATAGAAGGGTGCTTTGAATAAAAAAATAAAATAAAAATAAAAAGTATTGCAAATCTGCTTTTATGTATCTCTATTGTCCGATTGCTTTTAAATTCAAGTCAACATGATACCAACATGATGCAGCATCGATCCTGCATTTTGTAATGTTTGTTCTCAGTATAGGAACAGTCAGAGGAGTCCAGAACAGTCGAAATGAAAAGACAGNATTTTAGCAGAAAAGAAGCTTCTGCTACTTCATCTTTGATGCTTGTCTATGGAGGATTTTTCCTGCCAAAAATCAAGAGTACTCATTTTCAATTTGAGATTAGGAATCCCTCTACTTGCAATCAAAACTTGTAACGCTCCTATTCAAAACCTCAGCTTTCTCTCAAATATATTCTCTTCTCCATCACCTCTGTTTCTGCTCTCAGATCTAATGCTTCTTACCCAGATATTTTCTCTTAATTCATATCATTAAGCAGCAGAGGTGGGTAGAGTACCCATAAACTGTACTCAAGTAAGAGTAGCATTACTTTAAAAATCTTTTACCCAAATAAAAGTAAAACATAGTCATCCAAGCTACTTGAGTACGCTGGATAATAACTTCAGATTTAATGGTTTTGAATGATGCTGGCAAACATACTTCATGTGCAAGTTGTGGTATTTTGAAAACTTTTGAAAATAATTTTTATGAATATAACAGTATAGTATAAGAAATACTTTTATCATTTTTTTTTTTTTCGAAATACAACCCTTACAATAATAACTGTATATATGTTAGGACAGGGTAATGAGATCCCAATGTTAATATCTGTTGTTTACTGTATGTTTACCTGATTTTGAAATAGTTCAAATTACTCAGTAGGAGTAGCGATACTCTACATGAATATTACTTAAGTTAAAGTAAGTAGTAAAACACTGTAAACCTTTTTTTTTTCTTTTCAAATTAATACTCAAGCAAATGCAACTGAGTAAATTTAACTAATTAATACCCACCTCTGGTAAGCAGTAATAGGAAAACTCAGTAGAAAAAAATAAGCACACCCTTACTGAAGCAGCCGTTCTATTGGCTGGAAAGGTTGCTAGGCGACGATCTGACTCCAGTCTGAGAGAGATCTTAAAAAATCCACAAGCAGAGCTAACACGCTTGCGTGGGAATCATTCAATTGAGCAGAGACTGGTTTGCACACATTTGTCCACATTAAGGTCAGACATGCCATAAGACCACCAAAGCGCATCAAGTAAAGCATGTACACTTAAAAAAAAAGCAAAAAAAAAGGTTTTTAGCTCGGCTATTCCAACTCTACCATCAGCTGCTTGTGAAGTGTATCAAGCGCCTTAGATGCTAAAACGCTCATGAGGCGCTGCTGAATCTGCTTGAATACATCAAGACGTGCTGCTCCTGCTGCTGGAGATACGCTGCAAGACCTTTCATTGCTCCTTGATGTGCGTCAGCCATTGAGTTTGCATGTAAACGATTGCTTCTGCTGCTCATACCTTGTTTGGTTTGAACGTAGCACATCTTTAAACATAGAGCCAGACACCAGTCAAAGTCAAGACTTAAAGGGACTAGAGGCAGGATGAGAAAATTACACTAACAAGTGAAACGACTGGCAGCGTGGGTAACAGGAGTACGTGAGCTTGCTAGGGCTGCAACTAATGATTTCTGTTTTAAAGAATCAGACCTGGCAAAACTAAAACTTTTCCACTTAAGTATTTTTGGATAAACCACTTTGACACACATTCTTAGTCTATCATTTAAAATCTCATTAAATTACCTGTTTGTGGTGGAAATAGTATAACAATCATTAAGGCATAAGTATAGTATTTTTGCCTGAAATAAACCGTCCTGGAGGCCAAAAACAGATTCTACGATGCTATCCTTTGCACTTAAATAAGATTTTTCAGAATGTATGGGGTTTCTCATGTACTGCAGCTTTAGATGGGGAGGGTTCTACTATGAAGAACAGGCTGAGTGTCTGTTTATTGTAACAAATCCCCTATATCATTA